CCCCCCCCCAACCGAATTCTTGGCGACGCCCCTGGGTTACAGCGTTAAAAACTCATTTGATTTCATGGAAAAAAATCAACGATTTAGAACTATAAGAAGATAGTATTCCCAGGTATTCCAGTTCCTTCTTCTATATCATCAATTCGAGATCATTTACAAAAATAATCAACACATATGTACGTTAAAATAGCTGAAATAAGGAACTAAACTCATCACTTTTCAGTTGAAAGTATTAAATTTGAAGAAAACCTGAACGACGCAAAGCTTTAAATTATCTTTCCCGATTATTGTGTCCTGTTCCTTATCTCAAGAACTATCTCTACCAAAAAGTCTATGCTTAAAAGAAAAAATCGTTGGAGAATTTTCATGTTTCAGCCAAGAAAACTGACTATTTTTAAATGCCGTAAATTATGAAACGATGACTTCACTAAAAATAATATATTAATTTAAATGTAGTTAAGCCCACATGCGCACGGTTTTTTGATCAGGGGGGGGGTCAAATTGACTTTGGTCTCGAGGGGGGGAGGTTATATTTATGTGGGAAACTAAAATAACAATTTTGCATGAAAGAAACAAGTAAAAATGTGTTTTGGCGAGCAAAGCGAGCCGAAATTTTGCAAGTTTGACTTCAAAATCAGTGTATTTTTTCTATTGTTTATACATTTATATTGCAAATCTGAGAAAAAAATTCTCAGAGGGGGTCAAACCGGTAAATCTCCTAAAAATTTACCCGGGGGTAAATTTTGAAAAATTAACCGGAGTTTTATCACACATTAATACAATATATCAAATTAATACAATCATCAATACCCATGTAATTCATTTGCGGAGTAATTTTGACGATGGCGGTACTGTGTGGAGTTTGGCGGAGATGACATACAAACTCTGTGTGTACGAGGGTAACAGCACATCTATGTGTATCATTCTTACGCAGATGATTAGTAACTTAGCTGTGTGTACGGCTACTAAGATGTTCGTTTGGACAAAATAAATCTATGAACAGCAAAGAATGCTGTTGCACTCGTACACACAGCATTTGCATGCTATCTCCGCCGAACTCCGCACAGTCCCGCCATCGACAAAATTGCTCCGCAAATGAGTTATATGGGTAGTGTGGTTCATTTGCCGTTTTTTATTTTAAAAGCAATTCTGTGCGTTGAATGAACATTTTTTTATTTCATATTTGATGACATACGTTATTAAAAGACCGACAAAGCAGACACAATGGAGCAAGAACAATACGCCGGCCAAAGTGGATCAAGTGTAAAGGGAATGAAATCAAAGGATCCATCTGAACGTGCTGTAGTTGCTGTGAACGATGAACAACAATTGGCTGATATATTCAAACTTACCATCGACTGTTTCGAAGAAGTGTTCGACTTTTTATCGCAAAAAGATTTGACAGCTATTGGTCAAACATGTAAGCGAATGAATCGAATAGCAGGACATTGTTTCCAACATAACTATGGAGGCGCACATGTACGATTTTATGAAAAAAGTTTTTACCTTAACCGTGTCAAGATAGACTGTTTCAGAAATTTAATACAAAACGTATGCTTTGATTTCTTACAAAAAGTGAACTATAATAGTCAATATCAGCCGTTTTACGTAGCTTGTAGAAACTTTAACTTGATAAGAGAAACATTTTTAGAATAGGCATCAAGACACATCTTTAGAAACAATATTGTCAAATTGGAAAATGCGATATTTGATCGGTGAAAAATTTAACTTTTAATTTATATGTATTATATAGAAATTAAAACAGTGAACACAGTCGATATCTGCTGCTCCGAAGTCGAGAAGGCTGGTGGCTGGGTATACGATCGGGTGGTGTTTCATTGTGAACGATATTGTACAAATTTTGTGATAAATTCAGTCTGTGATTAGACGGTGTATAAAAAAATAATAATAAATAATAATAATGAGCGTACTAATTGTTTTTATTATCATTACACTGATCACGACGAAGATGTTTCATTTAATCACATGATAAGATTTGTAAGTGACTTGAAACATTCAACTTCAATTGAAGGAATCGAATTTTATTATGGTGATTTAAGAACAGTGTTTGCGAAATTTGTGAATTCATTATTTATTCTCAAAATATGTGTTTATATGTATGAGTGAGCCGTATGCGAACGAAGTGTGTGGACAGCGGCTGCGAATTGTATGAGAACCGAGCACGCACAGTGACGTACTCGCTATTTCTTTTATACGCAGTAGAATTCGGCTGAATCATAGCGGTTTACATATGCGTGAGCAGAAATAGCGAATATAAGAATGAAGAAACGGCAATACAGATGGCACACAATACGCTATCGCAACTCATTCATTCTCATATTCGTTCTTTCTACTCTCACATATACAAGCGGCTATGCTTCTGTCGGATTTCATGCAGCGAATATGAGAAATAGCGATCACTTCACTGTGTGCGCCTCTTTCACATATAATTCGTAGCCGCTGTCCACACTCTTCGTTCGCATACGGCTCACCTATGCATACCTAAAAATCATATATATGATAAAAATCATTATAATGATGAAAAACAAATAAAAATTATCGCAAATATGAGCGTGAGATACGGATTTTTTTATGTTTTTACAATACACCGGTAAACTTTTTTTAGAGCAAAATATCACTATAAATCACATCAATTTCAAATCAAATTATATTTTAAATCTTTCATTGAATATTTAACAATAAAATAAAAATATGAAAAAAAATTTATCATTTGAAAAAAATAGTTTTTTTTACGAAAAATCATTTTACACTGAACTTGCAAAATCAAAGTGTAAAATGACGATTTGCACTGACGTTATACACTCACAGTGTAAAATGTCGAATTCACAGCATTTTTGTTGTAGTGTGGGTAATTCGACGTTTCACACTGTGTGTGAAACGTCTGTGTAAATGGGCGAAATACACAACAAACATTTGTGTTTACACTGTTCAATTTCTCTGAGTATGATATGCCATTGCCGCTGATCGCTTAAAAAATCTATTCAATTATTTATTTTCTTTGTCTAAATTTCTCTATGTCTATGACTCTTCACATATGAAATATCTTTCCCAGTCACATATCCAATCGTTCCATTTTAAATTGTGGTATTCAACCATTTCGACGCAACTTTCTTTCCCATTAAAATCGTTCGGTTCTTTATCACCCCAATTTGTGAATGCGAATTCTTTATCATGGCCCATCCAATAGAATTTGTTGTCGTTGCCCAATTTAGTACCAGCCGTCCAAAAGGTTCCACCATCACCACCAAAGCCTATTTTCGAAAATTAACACAATATTTAAAATTTATTGAAATTTAAAAAAAAAATCTAACAGAAAAATCAATAATTTTGTGGCAAAAGTGTTCGATTTTACCTGCATCTCGGATTTGTTTCTCAACTTGATCGACTTCTTCTCGAGATGAAAAGCTGGCTAAGCGCATATTATGGTTGAGACACTCAATATTTGCTCGAAACCAATTCAGCTGAAATTTTTTTGAATAATTTTTATTAAATGCTGGACTAAAAAAATTGGATCCGCCGAACGTAAAAGCGCCACATTGAAAATGGAACACGGAAAAGAAACATATGTTACTCATGTTTTACGCAATAAAATGCACATGCGTCAACAAATAATGGGCCTTATTAACGCTCCATTTTAGAGTAGATGCTTTTTTGAGCGGCGAATCTTGTTCTCTTATTAAAAGTTTGACATTTATGCTCAAATATCAATCGTCCCATGGATAATTACCTGCATATTAGTTTGAAGATGGTACTTTTTAGTTTTTGATACGAGTTTTTTGAAGAGATTAACCGTAATGTTTATCAATTTTGAAACATTTGAACCTTTCACCTTGAATGTAAGCAATTGATCATTGGCTTCCTTGCACTTCTTCTTCCAATCGGCCTAAACACCAATGATAAAATCATTAAATGGTTCAAACGAATTACATCGATATATTCAAACCTGTTTTGCTGATTCGTCTATTATTTCTTGATGTGTTTGCAGGTAGGGAAAGTTTAAATAATAATATGAAAATGCATCGAATGTTTCATTTATAAAATTCACCGTGGAATTTGGTCTATCCTCAAGACACTTTTCATAATTTGTCAACATTTGATCCAATATAGAGTGACAACGATCCAATTCTTCAATCAAAACTTCAGTAAATCGATTGAACATCACTGAGTCGACTTCAATACTACTGATGAACTATAATGAAAAAAATCGATTGGATCAAACAGAATTGGAATCATAGAAATTCATAAGATGTGACATTTGAAGATTTAAAAAGTAGAGGAATTTTGTTCTGATTCACTACTTTCTATAAAATATCACAACAAAATACTAATTTTTTAACAATCAATTGACAAACCTGTTTAATTGATGGATTTCTCGCTCTTAAATGAATTTTCTTTAGATATATGATTGCAAATTTTTTTGCTTGATCCCTTTGGTTCTCGAAATCATTGTCCGTTAAATGAATTCGGACCTCGTCAATGGATGCATCCATTAAATTTCGGTAATTCTCCAAACTTGATTCAAATGAATCCGATGCCTGGATGATTGTTGTTTGCATAAAATTGAAGTAGTTGGTGAGGTAGGTCAGGAGGCTCTGGGAGATGTTTTCATTTCCGAATTCTATTGATTTAAACTGTGGAAAAAAATAATGAATAATTAGTGTTTAATTTAATAGAAAGTTTTACCATATTCGCACCTCAGTTAATGATTCAATTTTATAAGTTTCAAATTCCGGACTCAAATTGGTGTAGCTTAAATCAGCTTGGGGTTGAATTTTTTCTAGCATTTTTATCTCAAAGTTCCGTTTTATTTGGTCGATTGGCGCCTTGTGCTTCAAATTGGCTGGATCCTGGAATGAGTTTGAAGTGCAAAAAGAATTGATCCAAAGATCAAACTATCGTCAGTACATACTTTGAAGAGAGCACATTTCTCTAGGTAAGGAATGACAATTTGTTGCTTCGAATTCTGATATTTATTGTCAATAATCTTTTTTATCTGTTTTTTGAATGATTCTTTAATTCCGTCGGCCAACTCTATGTTTGTTTGATTCAAAAACTGAAAAAGTAACGAATGAAAACATCAGAAACGATTAAAAGAATGAAATATGTTAAGTGATAACACACCGTTTCCAGAGTGTTTTCCATAAAATGGTGGTATTTCTGGTACAGCGATGTGTGCATATTTTCGAGGCATGGATCGAACGATCTCTGTAAATCCACTTCATCGTATTTTTGAATAACATCGTAACACAGTTCTAACAATCTTAATAACTTTGTTAGGAAATCCCCCGCGACTTTTTCAAACTTTTGAAAGAATTTTTTAATATTTTCATGACTCACAAATTCATCATCATCCATTAAGCGGATATAAATCTGGAAAAAAGGAAAAAATATAGTATTTGAGTCTATTTTGCGTCTAGCTTTTCCTAATGGTTATACCTTTTCTAAAGTATCGTTTTTTATTTTTCCAAATGTGGCGATCAATTCTATATTATTCAAATTTAAATTTGAGTATTCCATTTCTAATGCCATCAAATCCGAAAGAAGAGTTGAAATTTGCACATGGGAGTTATCCTGCAGCAAATAAAATTATTAAATAATTAACAAAAGATTTCGAATTTCAAAAGTGTTAAATTACATACGTTGAATTCATCGCGCTTTCGTTTATTTTCTCGTTGGAACACAACGAAACGGTCATCAATGGAACTTTCCAATTTTCGTTGAAACGCTTGCTTAAGCTTATCATTAGCTGATCTGGAGGAGAACTATTTAACAATGAAAATTCAATAAGAAAATGATACATTTTTAGTTGAGATTCCACAACAAACCATTGAAATTGTATTGTTTTTCCAAAGTTGATGTAATGCCAATATTTTTCGTTCGCTTAACGGCAAAGGCTCAAATTCCTTTAAGGAGCTTTCCATCTGGGTACTATACCATTCTAAAGAGTGATTAAACTGCGCAAACTTTTTCATTAACGTCGAATGTAAGTTATCGATGGCGGGTTTGACGTTTTCTCTGTCATTTGACGCCTGGATTTTTGGGATAAGAAACAAAGCGGTTTTTAAGTAGAAAATTGTTTTACTTTTTAGAGCATGAATTTGCTAGGTGCTAGTGTTATTTTTGTAATTTTTATTAATGTCACTTCTATTTTAATACAATTAGGAGTATCTTCTGACAAGTGGTAATACCAAGCGCTTCTGAAATAATGCGCATTTTAAAAAGGCGCTTCATAAATGCCATTTCATGCTCTGCCTTTTTTGAAAATGATCAACTAGTAATTTGAGCCGAACATACCTCTTTCAAAGCCTTATTCTTGAGTCGCGTGAAGTACACATTCAAATTTGGATCATCTGAGAATGAACGATCGCCTATTCCTCGAATCAAATCACCTTCCAATTGTTGCATTATATTCCGATTTCTACTATGAAGCACCTGTAATGAAATCAATTTACTTCAAACGGTTTCAAATGCATTTTAAATAAGTTCAAGTTTACATACCTCATTTGGATGGTTGGTTGTAGCGCTTTTACCAGAAGAATAGTTACAAATGCAACAAATTAAAATAACAATATACACAGAGAACATTTCGCACTTTATTCTTTCGTTGTAAATCTCTAAATAAACGCCGCATTTTTACATCAACGCATATTTATAGCGTATTTAATTTGCCACTTTCACTGATAACATACATATGTTTGTTGAATTTTTATTCGTAAATTGGCAGAGTGTTATTTAATCGCTCTTTCTCAGAAAAACCCAAAACGAATGAAAAACATGATTATTGTAATACGTATGAGTCTGATCACACAGCATCCGTCGCTTGGAATATACATCTTCATCGTGTAACACATTACTTGAGTGCTTTTCGAGTAAATAAATAAATAAACAATTATGGCTCGATCATTCTGAAAATGATACAGTATTACAACATCAGCATGCTTAACGGAATAGTAAAAGTTATCTAACTAAACGTAAACACTAAAATGTATATAAAAAAACTTTTTTTGCTGAACTATTGATACCGTTTTTTATGTCGGATATGCGTGATCCACTTGATTGACATATATTCGACTTGAAAAATACTTTAACGTCATTTAATCAGAATGGTTACACATTTGACTCGACAATTTTTGCCGCCCAAAATTTTTGAGTTCGGAGGCGACATTTTCTCAAAACTGATTAATTGTTGATGACCTTTCTCGCACTTTAAATTGCACAATTTCCGAATATCAATTCTTCGATGTTTTTTGCGGCTTTGTTTTTCGTCGATTTACTATGACGAATTTAGCACCATGAGCACATATTTTCCCACTTTATGTCCAAAGTACGTAAAAATATTTGCCTGATTCTATGAACGGTGCGCTCTCAAATAAATTCTACTTTAATCAGCTCAATTAAATCTTCCTATTCATTCACCATTCTTCTGGGTCTTTAAAACAATGGAGTTGATGAAGTCAAATATTTACCATCAATTCGTACAAAAGATTCGTGTTTGCAAATCAAATTTGAATTGAATTATTTACCTTTTCACCTTTACAAAACCCTAGACATTATCCTATTTCTAACGGACTCACAAACATCGTAACAGATATTCGTATTATTCAACGTTTTTGTTGTTATTATTAAATTACTTTCAGGTTGGAATTTCTAAATTTTACCTTTTAAAAATATTTAAAATCATGATCTTCTACCGACATATATGTTCGTTTCAAAATTTAATGACTCATTATCATCAAACGAAATTCGCACTATCAGTTCATTGCGAGCGTAATTTCATGCATGTATTATCAGAGTTATATAAAATCATTCATTGGACGTACTATATTTTCTGTTAATTGATAAAACGTGAAAAACAACAAAAATCCCCAAAATCTCCGAAATGCTCAACTATCATTATTTAATAATGTTTGTGCCATTTAGAAAATAAACATTGTAAACATTTTTGTAGCACACAGCAATCTTGTATTTTATATTGTCGTGCTCGGTTTGTATTTCGAATCAGAGCCAACCTCACAGAACGAAAACGATTCAAAGCGAGTAATTCTTATCTTATCTCCAAAGCAAGGACGTTCTCAGTATGCTAAATTGACTCTATACAGTCTTCAAAAACAAACTTATTGAAATCATCGTCGCGTGAAATATTTGTCGAACACATTTTTTTTCTGGCATCTGCGCGGGTTCATTTGATTGCTTTCAAACGTATCTAAAAGATGTGGAAAAAAGAACATGACACTTCTTGAAATATTTATGAAACCACGCGAAATTTGATAACGAAATCAAAAATAATTGGATTGGAATCAAAAGTTAATATTTAAAATGTTTGCAAATAAGAAAGCTGAAAGTGCGCATTTAAATCAACTTGATAATAATGAGAAATCGTGTGCCGTGCACAAAATTCAGAGTGTAAACAATGTCATTTTTTCCAACTGAAAGCTTATCACCCGAGATTTTTCGGCTAAATATCGATATTTTTCATGAGATTTTCGATTTGCTCTCTCTTAATGACTTAGTATCCGTTGGAAGAACGTGCAAGCGCCTACAACAAGTAGCCGGCGTATTCTTCCGAATGAAGTATGGTGGAAAAATTGCACATGAAAGCAATGATATCTTTGTTTCGTCAGTGCAGTCGAACATCTTCAGTGAATACATTTAACGAATATCAATTTCGGGTGATCGTTTGAGTGCGTATCGATTCATCCGTGTAAATTGTACGAATTCAATCAAACATTTTCGAGTTTACGTTACATTGCCGCACGCTGGATTCGGATATGTCAAAGAAATATTGAAAGATTGTACGATTCGTGAATGGGGAGTTTTACGACAGTTGTTTGAAATATTGTCCAAGTTTGAAAACGTTAAGCATAACAAGATCGGATCGCATTCGAGATAAATCCATAATAATTGGCACTAGCAATGAATGGTTACAACGAAATTACCAAAATCTTGTGGTTTTTGAATTATCCGATTGTCATAGACTCGAAGCGAATAGGGTTAAAGTGTTTTTAACAAACAACCCAAGTGTTCGCACATTTTTAACCGACTCAAACACATTATGGGAGCATCATACGATTTTGGATTCAAACATAAAACTTGAAAGATTACTCGTCGATATTTATCAAAGTAAACCGATTTATGTAAAAAGTCAACCAATTCAAATGGTAGATTGTATTTATTGAACTTCATAAACGTGAATTTTTCAAAAAACTACACTCTCATATGGTTTTCATCGATGAAGAGATTATCAATAAACTGTTAACTCTCAACGCAATCGAAATGGTAAGCGGTCGCATTCGAGATGTGAAAACACCAATGCATGGTACAACCGCTCTTGCGTTCTGAAATATTGAATATGGAAAATTTACCCAAAAATGTGCACTAAAACGCGCCTATTTTTCAAACGGTACCTACGACTGTATTTTTCATTTTATACAACATTGGCCCAAACTGCGACAGATATTAGTTCGACGATTTCTTGAGAGGATTTATTTTAATTTAAATTTTTTAAACATCTTGATTTAATTGCGCTGAATGAAGAAAGAGCGAAATTAATTGGAGCCGGAAAATTTATCATTTGTGCGAAAGAAGACGTGTATTTAGCGACGAAGTGGAAACTGAAAGTAACGGAGATTCGGTTGATCGAATTGTGGCGGTATGAATCCATTGAATGGGAAGAATTTGGAGCGAAGTCCACTTTCCATACAAAATTTTCGTTTTTGAGCGAAAAATCCAAAATTTTGTTCCGGGGGTTCCCCTAATATGCATTGAAATGTCTTCAAACTCTCGGAATAATATTTTTGTGTGATAAAAATAACCTGTGCAAAGTTTCAGATCATTACAATATCATACAGGCATGGCTTCCATACAAAAATCCATTTGGAATTTTTATCTTATGAATCGATCTTGTGAGTTGTTTTATAAAGTTTCACTCTTTGTAATGCACATTTTTCTATGTTTCATTTTTGAAAATAAGAAATAATTTGAGTCATGATTTTTCTCAACCATTCATTTAATTGTGTCTTTTATTTTAAAAAAAAATCGAATATTTATTAAAAATTACATTGGATGTAAAGTTCGTTTGATGAATTTAAGTTATCAGTGTGATTTTTCAAATTGTTTGACCCAAATCATTGGGCCGTATAGTATATGAATGCTAATGATCGCTGGACAGTGACACTGGTCGCTTCAAAGAATGAATAACAAAAGTAAACAAAAAGTCTATTTTTCGTTCGCTCTTTAATGAATTCTCCATTTAAATAGTTGATATAGAAATATAGAGTATTCAGATTGGTCTACTTATCTCCGTGTGCGTCTGATGGAAACCAGTTTTAAAACAAACTTTACTAATTCGTATGGAACAAAACAATCAGGTTTTGATACGCAATATCTAAAATTACTCGATCTGTGTTTATCATTCAGAAAACATCTATTTTCTACTTTTGGACAAATACACAGTTTTTATAAACATTTTCAATACAATTGTCGAATGAAATAAATAAATTAGTATCAGTGGAAATAAAATTAGACCAATTTTTGTTGTCTTTAATTTCAACTAAATGATTTGACTGAAGACGTGTTTGATTAATGTAGTAAGTATTTTCACGAAAAGTGAAGAAAAGAAAAGAGAGATTATTTCCGTTTCTAGAAAGAGATAACACTCAACTGATTTTTCGAATATTAAATCCAAAATTTCAAATAGTTTTCTTTAAAATGTGAAATTTCAACGAATTGTTTTAAACTCCAAAATATCATACACTCAAATTGAGCAAATTGAGCAAGTCAATCTATTACCACTTCGGCTGTGAATAAAATAAGACGTAAATCGAACTTTTGAAATGATATTTTTTTTTGTCTGAGGAGTTATCTTATTATCAGAAATTGAGGATAAGTGTTTATAAAAGTAAGTTTAATATATCACATCACTCTTAAAAATAGTATAATAATCTCGTATGAAAGTAGATAAGTGCCTATTTTAGTACAAATTGACTTGCTTCTTTGACTGGAGAGTTTTTATATCGACAGTCACAGCTATAATCCATTCAAAGTGTTTGTCTGACAAAATTTGTGATTTTTCGACCCAAAATATCGAAATTGTCAAACTATAATCATATGAAGCCAAATGTCACATATTTTCAAAGTTTTGTTTACATAGAGAGATAAATAATAACGCCATGAACATAATGTTTGACATTAATTTCGTTCACGTTTACATTTAAAAATAATTTTGTAGTTGTGTATGCGACTTGCCTAATGTGATGTTCTTCCCTTCTTTAAGCACTTTTGTTCAACTTTCACATGCGTTTATTTGAAATTTAAGCACAATCGTGTGTATGTGGTAGATACAGACGAACGTCTCATTAGGGAGCATAAAAGTGAACGTATAACGAATATACCTTAGGTGAATGTACTACGTGAGACTCACACATTTTTGTTATGAATTTCTTCGTTAATCGTGAATTTGGAGAAAATTGACCGACAGTCGTATTATGCCGAAAAATATTCATTTCGAACATTCCATTTGATTGCAAAAATGCGTATAAAAATCTTTCTACCTTCAATTCAACCTTCACCTATATTATAAATAATATTTCTTTATTCTCTTTTCAGTAAAAGTGTCATCAAGTAGCCAAAAAAACAAAATCAAAATGGACTTTGTCTCAAATAAAACGAAATTAGAGGATCCAAGTGCCAATTTATCAATTGCAACCTCCGACTTACCCTCAATATTCAAGCTAAGTGTTGAGTGCTTTCACAAGATCTTCGATTTGCTGTCGCTCAGTGATTTAATTGCCGTTGGCCAAACATGTAAGCACCTCCAACGAATAGCCGGTGAACTGTTCCGAATCAATTACACGGCAAAAGTTGCGCGTGAAAGTAACGGAATCTACATTTCGGCGTTACAATCAAACATATTCAGTAAATTCATCGAGAAAATATCAATTTCGGGTGATCGTTTGAGAGCGTATCAGTTTGTCGGTGCAAATTGTTCAAAATTAATAAAATATTTTCGAGTTCATGGTAATTTGCCGCGCGGTGGTTTCGAATATGTCAAAGAAATCTTAAAGAATATTGAATGTTTAGAGTTAAATGAGTGTGTTATGAATGATGAACTATATGAGAATTGTCTGAAATATTGTGTCAGCTTAAAGTCCCTCTATGTAACAAGATCGGTGCGAATTCGAGACAAATCGATAATCATTGGCACCGACAATGAATGGTTGCTGCGAAGCTACCCGACGCTTGAATATGTTGAGTTGGCCGATTGTTATCGACTGGAAAATAATCAATTGCAAACATTTTTTGAGAAAAATCCAAACATTCACACATTTTCAACGGACTCACGAACACTGTGGGTGAATCGTCACATCTTTTTTGAATCAAACATTAAACTAGACGTATTAGCTATTGATGCTGAACAAAATAGTATTGTCGGCGAAAATAATCAACTGATTTCAATGGTGGATTGTATTTATACTTTGCTCAATGAACTATACGAACGAAAGTGTTTTAAAAGTTTAAATTTGTACATGACTATATTGACGAATCAAGAGAATGTTAATAAATTATTGTCACTTAAAGCAATAGATATATTGCATGGAGATATTCGGCAAATTGATCATCCTTTGGTTGATTTAAAAGTGGCTGGATTTTTTACAGCCGAAGGTGCTGTTAACACACAAAATTTACCGAACGTCCAACAACTCTATACCATTAATATAACAGTGGATCGTATTTGGTTGGTGATTCGGTCATGGCCAAAACTTAAGGAAATCCGAATAAGACACCTTTTCGAAGGCATACAATATCGAAAATTAGATTTGGTCGCATTGAATAGAGAACGAAGAAAATTAGCGGGCGCACAGAAAATTACGATTTATTTAACCGAAGACGATTATTTAGCGATAAAATGGACCACGCGATTTACAGATCTTGATTTGATTCAAGTGAAACGTTTGGAATCTACAGATTATGACACTTTATGTGCAAGATTTAGATATTTTGTATTGTTTTAGATACGTTTTGTAAAAAATAAAAATAGAAAATAATAATTGCAAAAGATTATATGGTTTTTTTACGATTTTTTGTATCGCACCAGACATTTCAGCCATACGATCTAGTTGATTTCATATCTAAACGGAACAAAATGGTATGGTTTATGCGTTAAAGAAAGATGTATTTATTGACAGGTGAGTCCAAAAGTCATATAACGAAGTAATAAATAGCTCTTGCTACTTATTTTCATCCAATTTTACTTCAAAATAATATAGAAATTGTATAGAATTCAATCATTAGCTCATGGCCAGAGAGTGTACTAATCATAAGTGTAATGGTTTTAAAATAGAAATTCTATTTATTATGTCAGTAGTTCATAGTCACTTTAATTCGAACACTATGAAAACGATAGAAAAAATCAAAAGAAAAAAATTAAATCAAATAAAATGAGGTAGAACGAGCTAGAATATCATTTTACACAAACCTATATTAGTGCTTATTCGAATTTAATTGAGTTAATAATCAATGCCACTTGTCCGCCTATCGTAAAAATTATTGCTTTTATTCGAGAAATGACGCTCTAGATAACGAATACTTACAGTAGACGTCATTCGATTTCTATGTGCAACGCCTTTGACAAATATAATAATTTACATACACTAGATCATGTTACGCTTACGAACAGTTGTGTATATTTTCAAATGTGAATGAAATCAATTGTGCACAATACCTAACCGACCCAAGTCCAAACTAACTGATCAGCTGCTGCAATGCTGTTCACAAACAGCTGGTGGGTACACATGAAATGCATGCGCTGCACCATGAGAAAATAGTTCGTCGTTGCTCATTGAGTTGATCTATTTTATAATCATCCGCTATCTGCAAATATTTGCCATCAATAGCAGCAGCTTGAGTCTGTTTTAATTTCTACTGTGATGTGATGTCACTGGAAAGAAATGTAAAATACAAGTACGAAATGTTCGTATGTACATGTGAGGTGATAACATCATATGATCTTGAACAGTATTAGATCAACATACTCCAACCGGTTATCTAGTACCGACGTTAAAAATAAACAAATAAATCAAATTTAGATAATATTGTTTTTTTTTTAAACGCTTCACAATACTCAAAACTCAAAAGTCTCTAATAAACATATGAGACATTGGACATCAAATAGAGACATTGTATGACATTGTGAGTTGCATTATTATTGATATCTACATAATGAACATTTCAAATAACACAAGAAATTGATATTGATTTTATGATATTGGTTTGTAGCTATTTGTTTTACTACTATTACAAAGTGTTTAGAAAGTTCAACCTTCAAAGTCGTTAGAAATAAATTAATTTTGTTTTTTCTGTGATTGTTGCTTGGCTTTCTTTCTTGAAAATAATTTCTTAATCAACCAGTAAATTGTGAAGAGTATCGCAGATACTGCAATCGCCGTAACAATAAAAACATCAATCAGAAGATAAGAAAACCATGACATATGAATGGCATGTGATTGAATATGTTTTGCGCCTTTGAATTTCGCAACATGTTCAATCCAAAACATAGCCTCTTCCATCGGATGAACTAAATTATCTTTGAAAATGGCTGAAATTTCTTTCGCTTTGATCGGAATGGAATCACTCGTAAGTATCTGTGTCAATGTCGCCGATAGAGTATCTGTTGTTAATTCGTTGAATATCAGAAAGTTGCCGTTGCCAACAGTGGCGATTCGGTGTGCATTGCGATGTTGATCACCAAAAAATGGAATGATGAGCAACGGTACACCATGGTAGAGCGATTCAGATGTACCAAAGGAGCCGCCATGTGAAATAAAAAGCACCACATTCGGATGGGCAAGAATGTCATTTTGTGGCATCCACTTTTTGATCATCACATTTGGTGGTACACCCGTCAGCGACTCATCCTCAAATTTCCATAGAACACGTTGTTTGAGATTTTTAAATGAATCCAAAAATACTTGGAGCTTCTCTTTTGGCAATTTCGAACTTTGCACAACTGTTCCCAGACTGAAATAAATGACACCATCCTTTGATTCATCCAAAAATGTCTGAAGATCCTTTGGTAATGGTTTGACTGGTTTCAAATGGGCCCCTCCGATGTTTATTATACCTGCAATGATATTATTTTTTAAGTATTTTATGACGTAAATCCAAGTCAGATGGTGAAATGGTGGAACTTACTTGGCATTGATGGTCGCGGTGGTGATAAAGCTCTATGAGTGTTGACTAAAATTATAGACACTTTTTGGAATAGTTCATCCATCGATGGCAATGGTTTCAAGTGTGCAAAGTGCTCTTTTGCGAACGCTTCTTCACTTGGTAGGTAGACAAAAGTTCGGAAAGCCCAATCATAAAAGATAACAATAGTATTGAACCATCTTTGAAAGAATGTCATATCTTCGGAGTATGCTAGCATCTGGAAATATATTGAGCGATCAATTCCAAATTTATAGATTTTTAATTCCAATTCGAAGCTTAACAGATTTGTGTCGACAAGTCAAAGTACAGAACACCAATCACACAATTTTATTTTTAAAGTGAGTCTGTCATTGGCTAAAATGACAAATAAACTTACGTAATGTGGAACAAAGCTCGAAGGAGTGAGAAGCCCCATTGCTCGATCATTGAAATCGGTGGCACCAAAGGGACCTTCACAAAAACAAAACAAAAAACCAATTAAATTAATCTATTGCATGAAATCTACAGAAACTTACAAATTTTCACGATCGGTGCATTGAATTTGTGAGCAAACATCATGAGATTTTCGCTGAAAAAGTCTTCCATCACAATCACGTCGAAGTGCAATCCAGTGCTGTGAATTAATTTTTGAACCGCGGCACTTTTAAGGTGGTACTCGTTGAAAAATCTTGGGAATATGCTCATCAGGCCGATCATTTTAAGTGGGTTATTACCATTATCAAATAGATCGTCTTGAGATCTAAAAGTGGACATATCGAGAGGGGGGTCGATCAGATATTCGGTATAGTTGGATAGATTATTGTTCTTCAATGAATTGCTAGTTAGGAATGTAACCGCATGCCCTCGGTTGAGAAGTGCTTTTACAAATGTTTGTGTGTACAAAAAGTGACTTTTTCCATTGAATGGAGCGAGAAACAACACCTTGTAAGCATTTGAAAGTGTTAGAATAACTGACAACACCAATAATATACGCAAATTCTATAATAAGAAATAAAACAAATTATTATTTAATTAAAAAAAAATCAATAGTAATTTTTGTCTAACCATTTTGAATGCGTCGTAGTAAGTTCTTCTATTCAAACGATGTTTTCACTGCCAACAACTGATCACAACTAATTTTACTGATGAATTTTACTCATTGTTTTAAATATAAGTTTGTGTATTATACATTGCATTACTCACACAAAACCAAAATTCTAAGTGATGTGTTAAACACATGATGGATAATTGTTGCTTTGGTGTGTATTGTTTTAATCATTTTTTTCTGTGTTTACTAAATGAGATTGTGAATTATTATCGCTAGAGAGAACGTTAAGAGACAAAGTTGTATATTGTGCATATAATCGTTCGTTACGCACGCGGAAATACACATTTGTAACAATGATAAATTGAAACGAAATTTCATATTTTCGCACGAAATAATATTTTAATAATTTCAAAAAATAATTGAATATAAAAAACAATTTTTGCAAATTATATTAAATATTTTTCTAAAAATGCATTTCGTTTTGACCTGTTTTTTTGTAAAATGTTTTTAAACAGTTCAATACAAGCCAAATTATGTATACATACATTTTTGATCGAAAATTCACTTTGTAAGAATTAATTATTAACTCAGATTTGAAAAACAATTGCCCTTATCTAATTCTAACACATACAATTTTGGAAAAAATGGAAATGAATGCTTTTCACTATTGGTAGTGCAACTTAAAAATGTCGTTTTTTTTGGTAAAAATAAAACTTTATTTCATAAATTCTGTAAATAACATGTCATTCAAAGTATTGGCCATCGGAAGCTATAACCTTTTCCCATCTTTCTGGCAGCATATGGATTCCGCGCCAAAAGAACTGCTCATTTTTTGAGGTTAGGAAAGAATCAATCCAATTTTTGATACCTTCAATTGAAGTTAAGCGTATTCCAGACAAGGCATTCTGCATCGATCGAAACAAGGGATAGTCAGAAGGGGCAATGTCTGGGCTTTACGGCGGGTGGGGCAAAACTTCCCATCCACTATTTTCCAAATAGTTTTTAACCGGTTGAGCAATATGAGGCCGAGCGTTGTCATGATGGAAAATTATTGACTCATGTCCGGTCGCATATTTTGGCCGTTTTTCGTTCAATGCTCTCTTTAAATGGATCAATTGTGTTCGATACAGGTCTCCCGTGATCGTTTCACCCTGTTTTAACAGCTCATAATAGAGGACACCCTTCTGATCCCACCAAATACAGAGCATTACCTTAGCACAATGAATATCTTGCTTTGGCGTTGATTTGGCTCGTTTACCGCGCTTCCCATACGATTTCTTACGCTTCGGGTTTTCATAATGAATGAATTTTTCATCACCAGTAACAATTCGATGCAAAAACGACTTCTTTTTGTGGCGCTCAAGCAGCAGTTCGGACATGCAAAATCGTCTTTCAACGTCTCTTGGTTTCAATTCATGTGGTACCCAATTTCCTTGCTTTTGAATGAATCCTAATGCTTTTTAAACGTTTTGAAATGGCTTGGTGAATCACTCGTAATGATTTTGCAAGTTCTTTTTAAGTTTGACGAATTTTGATCGAGTAATACCTCCAATTCTTCATCTTCAAACTTTTTTGGCTGCCCAGGACGTTCTTTGTCTTCTGTGTCGAAATCACGACTTTTGAAGCGCGCAAACCAACGCTGACACATTCTAATGTCTACAGCATAGTCAGGGTAGGCTTCAGTGAGTAAACGATATGCTTCAGTTGGATTTTTCTTTAAATGGAAGAAGCAAATTAAAACTTCCCGCAAATGATCTTTTGTTGGAACGAAATTCGACATTTTGAACGCAATAAAAAACTTGTGTGTATAAACTTGTATACACTTTGACAGATGGAATTTAATATTTTTTTTGACGCTCTTTAAGATACACTTGTTGTCACTGTCAAACAAATGGCGCGTATGATACATAAGAAGTTTGACACAAATACGACATTTTTAAGTTGCACTACCAATATTACAGATGATTACAGGGGTATTGATCATTAAAAATATGAGGTCAAGAAATTTTGAGTACATAGCCACAATTTGATATTTTGAATTTAAATGGATGTTTCAATACATAAAATACAAATGCGTGAACAAATCAGAATGGTTTGAACTTGAAAACACTTGGTTATTTTGATACGATTATTGATTTTAAAAATACGTCAAAATTGGACCACACTCATCGTACATGAATAAAAATGCGAAATTGTCAGTACTTGAATATTTTAAGAATTCATTGTGGTTTGATTAAAAATCAAATACCTCATCAAACTTTGATGAACGGAATGATCAATATCAGGTAAAATGTCACATACAAAAGCACAACATAGTTCCATACATTTAACAGCACATCATGACTATTATCACTCGAAAAGAAACTTGATTGATCGTACACTTAAATTCTATTCCAATTAAAGTTCATAACGTGAAATGCACGGACATACGCCAACCAATTTTGTCATCAATATAATAAACAAAAAATGCACAGAAAACAAATGGGCAAAAGTTGAATGACCTAAAATACACAGTTAAGATATGTGCGAACGCATTGATTAATGAGAGTACACAGAAAGAAAAAGTGTGGTATTTTTAATTCAATTTTGGTAGATTAATATAAAATTAACCAACAACGAATTAAATTTACCATTTTTGACATCTCTGAGGCATATTTTTCAAAAGTGACTATTACCAACTGCTTCATTGCATTCACCAAATTCATGGGCTAGCGTCATCTGTGGTTTCGAAAAGTTGGTAAATGTTGCTCAATATTGTGATAGAATGACAAAAACAAAACTCAAAGATATTTTTTAAAGTTTTATAGCTGATAATAATTGTACCTAAAATGTACCTTCAAAATAACATCATCATAAAGTCATTACTTCGATGGCGTTCTTCTGCAGAACATGTCCTTCAAAATTCACCGGGGGCTTCCCGAAAAAATGGCGAAAATGAAAATCAACGATATTTTTTCAAATTTTATTGCTGATAATAATTGTACCAAAAATGTACTTAATAGTACCGCAATTTATTTTTAATTGTACCTTACTCGTTTCGATAATATTTGGAGCTCACATTACGGGCCAACTCAATATTGTGATAGAATGACGAAAAAAAACTCAACGATATTTTTAAAATTTTTATGGCTGATAATAATTGTACCTAAAATGTACCTTTCAAAAAAGGTTGGTATACAGAGTATATATTTCAAAATTCTTAGAGATGTTCCCATAATACAAAATATGAACAGGGAAATTGATCAAAGGACAAACTTGACGGTAAGTACACTTTGTTATTATAAAAGTAATTGTACCATACGAAATATAATTGAACTATGCTAATTTCGAATTGTACCTCACTGAAACTAATTGTACCATGCTAATTTCGAATTGTACCATGGTATTTTCGAATTGTACCTCACTGAAT